TAGGCATGCTAGCAGGCTGTGTTGCTGTTGTGTTCGCCATTCTTCAACTTGTTTTCAAAATCAACGGGAAACCCCAGAACTCTAAATTTAATCTGGCCATCATTGGTGGATGTTTTTCTGCTTGTGAGTACGATTCTGGGTTACCAGTCTTTGTTTTAAATATAAGATAAAACAGGAGACGTGTTGGAAAACTGAATCTAGTTATACGGAACTTACATAAGTTCTAGGATATACCTGAGTATCGTAAGAACTGACTGAATGTAGTGACTACATATAAAGGAATATTCAATACTTAATATGAGGGTAGTGCGGTATGAGATGAGGAAAAATAAAGCTCTCGCGTAATATTTTCCTCTGTCATTAATACATCTAGGAAGTAAAAAAGTTTGTTGGTTTTTAAAATAAGAGCTTATGAAAAAATTGTTGTTTTTTTTATAGATTTTATAGAAACTATTTCTTAAGTATATTATTAAGTATATATATTAAGTATATTATTAAATATCTAATAACACTAATTAAACCACTTAAAAATTCCAAAGCTTACGTTTTTATTTATGTATATTTTTATTATCCTTTTCCAGTTGTTTGTATTTTGATAACAGTAGCCGTCTGGGGTGGAGAAATTCATGAGCCAATGACAGCGGGCAACGCAGAGATCGGATACTCGTTTATACTTAGCATCGTTGGTGGCTGTCTGTTGGCTATTGCTGGTGGTCTTGAATGCGCCCTACTCAATAGTCAATAAAACACACACATACATACACACACGCACACGCACACACACATACACACACACAAACACGCACATATATATATATATATATATATATATATATATATATATATATATATATATATATATATATATATATATATATATATATATATATATATATAAATAAATATATATAGATATAGATATATAAATAAATAAACAAATATATATATATATATATATATATATATATATATATATATATATATATATATATACATACATATATATATATATATATATATATATATATATATATATATATATATATATATATATATATATGTATATTGCAAATGCATATATAAGCAAAATTAGAATTTTTATAATTTTCTACTATCATAATATATATTTTTTTAATAAATTATTGTGTGGACAAATATTTAATCTTGCTAATGTTCATTTAAATTTCCTGTTATGTTTAATTGTAATGTTGGCTTGCCTAATTAAAAACGTAATGTTCAACTTAGGGCTTAGGTATTGGTAACACATGTAAATCATGTTTGATATGTTATTATGAAAGTGATTATTTATTTTTTAAAAGAATGTTAATTCTATTGAATGACAATGACAACTCGAAGTGTTAACTAAAGGTGTTATTTTTCAGTACTAAGAAAAACAAGATTTTTTTTTAGATTATTATTAAATGGGACCCAACTTGTGAAAACATGTCTAGTCTAAGACCGCGATTGATTAAAATAAAAATTTCGGCACTTCTCCGTATCAAATACCCTCACCCGATTCTATATCTTATGTTACCTGTCAGAGGCAAACCTTTCATAAATGGTTTTTCTTATCAGAGTACTTATGTACAAATACCCCCCCCCCCCCCTCCACTTTTCTCCAACTCACTGTCAAGGGGAACTTACAGAAAGAGAAACACAGCCATCGGAAACTTGACAAGTTATCTACAATTGTGTTATGGTTTTGCTGAATGTTTTTACCTTTCCGTTTTAAATTAGCTCTACGTCACAATCTGGCTAGCTTATAAATATTTTAAAATATTTAAATTAGTATTATTTTATATGCTTGGGTACACATTTAGCCACATTTATCATAGACACTCAAAAACCTAAAATTCTACAAACTTTTAACAGAGTGATAGAGAAATGGAGAGAGGGAGAGAGCGATAGAGAGGATATACAATTGAAAGTAATATTAGTCTACCAAGACTTTAAGAAAGCAATTTGGGCCTGATTCTATATAGAACACAAAATCTACTTCTATCACAAGTTAGTCCTATGTTTATTTCTATAGTTACCACTGAACAAACATCTACAAAAGTATACTTTTTAAATCCAAAGAGTGAGTTTAAAAAACATGTATTAGCCATCTTTGTCGACAAACTTATGCAACCATTGCATTCAAATGCAGCAGAAATAAAAATAACAATAATTAATTCATGCTGTGTAGAATTGTTCTCTACAAAATAAAAATAAAAATATAAATTGAAAAATGCTATTCCTTCGACCAGAGTGTTGAATAATATTCTTTTTAGTTTGTGACATAAAAAATAAAACCAAAGCTGAATATGAAACCTTTCTGTTTTAAAAGCGTTTCAACAACATGTGCTATCAAATGGTGTAGGGAGGGGCCGGAGCCATCATTGTCATGTTATTACAGGAAACAATAAAATTGTAAACAGCTTCTCTTAAAGGAAGGGCAGATTTTTCAACAAGGCCGACTCTACCTAAGGTATTGGACTGGAGCGTTTTAACTGAATACAAACATTCATTGTATATTTGCGCTAGAAAAATGAAAACTATATTTAAATGTAGTGTTAAATTTACATCTAAATACATTGAGTTTACTGATATTTAATTTAAAAAATATTACCTAAACTAAATTTTTGTGCTTAGAAATTCTATCCTCAGTCATTAGGCGCAAATCCTGCCCCATTTAAAGGCACTTAGGTAATTCCTTAGAGATAAAGATATTTAAACACTCAACAAGTATTGCAATAAATCTCTTGTCACTGGGGTAATTTAAAACCATTCGGTCACACAAGGAAAGTTAAACCTGGTGTTGTGTTATTTTGTTAGACCGAGGTAAGAGACAGATATTTTAAATTTTTTTAAGAAGAATTCGATTAGTTATTAAATAACAATATTAAAATATTGGGGTTTATTTTTTCATAGAAAAAAAACTTTTCTATCATTTTATTTTTAATTTCAAAAGACGTTTTTATAAATTAATTTATTCTCTTATGAACGATAGAAATGAAAGGTTACGAGAAAATTAGAGAATTTTATAATTGGTGAATGTATGACGGATGATTCAGTATTTGAGAATACATTTTTTTTTCCTATTAATTAAGAATGGTTCTATGCATGTAAATATTAAGCTGGTTTGGTTCGGTACCACCAAATAGACCAAGAACCACTGCTTTATAGGGATCCGATAATCTCCATTGATTATACCAGGGGTCTCCAAACTACAGCCCGCAGTATCCACTCATCCGGCCCTCGGAGATCTTTTTGTCCACGGAAAAAAAGTTTGTTGAAGTGGCTGAGGAAAAATTCAAAACATACTGAAAATGTGCAAATACAATTGAAGTAAATGTGGCCAGCTGCCCAGCAAATGACCTCATTAAAGACAAGGAAGACTTTTCTAATATTAAAACTTTTACATCGAAGTACCTTTCAACTTTTGGAACAACATACAAACTTTATCAAGTGAGAAACAATTTGAGAAGAAACTTGGACCTCGAGTATGTTGTCGGTCCCCGACAATGTTTCTTTCAGACATTTTTCTCGGGTGGGGGGGGGGGGGGGTGGCTCCGCCACCCTGATGAGATGCCTGGAAGAAACTCTGGCCCCTGGGCTGAAAAGTGTGGAGACCCCTGGATTATACTATTAGGGTACATACAACCAACACAAATGTGGTTTCTTAAACTTCCTATTGTTTGATTATACGATTTTTTTCAGGTTATCTATGGCGTTGAGCGGCCAGACAGGTATGTTGGCTGTAGCTGTAGTGGGTGCGGCTGGCGTTGGTGCGGTACTACACATCGTTGGCCTGGCAACGCCATCGTGGTCAGCTGTGCCAGTAACCACTGGGACGGCCAACTACGGCCTGTGGCGCGCATGCTCCGGAGGGTACTGCGTGGACTACCCGATTAAAAATGGTATGAAAAAAAAGTTAATTTGGCATTGTTCATCGAATAAGGGTGTCGTCCATACGGGGGTCGTCAATACGGGAAGTGTCATGTCGCACTTCTGCGATTATTTCAAAACACTTTTTGAAACTAAATTTTTAGCAGTTTTCTTGAATTGGTTAGACAAAAATTGCAAAAGTCGTTTGAGGGAGGAGGGTGAAAATGTGTAAAGAAATGTGTGTTTGTGTGTTGTGTGTGGAGCGGGCGCGGTGGGATGTTACAGCGTATTATTGTGTGTAAAATATTCTTCCCAACCTAAGTCAAATTACCTGAAAATGTAATCTTAGACAGGATCCATTAACTGACGGTCTTGTTAGTATCACCACTAACACACTAAAGCTAATTCTAATATTTTCACGAACTCTACGCTTAGATCTTATAGGTAACCATAAGAGCTGGATGGACCCAAGAACGTCTCGAGCCCGGGATCCGAACACGAAACTTACCTATTGGCAGCCATGTGCTCTACAATCCAACCACGCCATCCAACATATTGCTAATCTAGCTCCAATTATAACCATAACACTAGCAGTGATGTAAAAAGATAATAATAACAAAATGCTCTTATTAAAAAAAATGAGTTAATAACAAATATGCTAAACATGTTCATGTTTTATCAATTCAAGACAGTCTTAATGCGTGTGAAGCCTTCTCAATCCTAGGCATGCTAGAAAGTTTCGTTACTGTGGTGTTTGCCATTCTTCAAATTTTTTACACAATCAACGGGAAACCCCAGAATTCTAAATTTAGTCTCGCCATCATTGGTGGATGTTTTTCTGCTTGTAAGTACCAGTCGAGTCCGTGAAGTTAAACAATAGAGGCTAAGAGTGTTGGGTCATAAAACAGAGATAAGGTGTAATAGATCTGGCGCGGAAAGCCATAAAAAGTGATTTCGTTTTTCGTCCTTAGAGGTGTTAACTAATTCCTCTTTAAACTACCTGTATAAATTACCTTAGTTGCAGTGACGTCGCTTGGTCGGGTGTCACCCGTTTGGGCGCCTTATGGCGTTACCCCCCCCCCCCCCCCACAAAAACTTGTAGACTATATATAGGCTATATATATATATATATATATATATATATATATATATATATATATATATATATATATATATATATATATATATATATATATATATATATATATAAATATATAGTTGCAATTTGTGTCACCCCCTCCGATTTTGTCAAATGGCGTTAATTAGAGCGTACTTTATTTTACTCCGCCTATAAATTTGCAGTTGAGGTCACCCTCCCCCGGCTAGCCGATTTTTAATACATCTGGATGTTGCATGTTTAAGTCACCCCCCTAAATGGTGTCATCCTGTGTCACCCCAACCCCCGACTAGCGACGCCTCTGTTTAGTTGTATCCATATCCTCCTAGTGTAAACGCAGTTTACAATAATTATTATTTTTTTACGTTTGTAAGTTTTCTAAATCATAGATAAAAAAATAGAGTTTTGAAGAAAAACAATCAAGTGTTCAATAATAATATAAAACGCCATTTCAGAACAATTTTTTCCTTTCATGATATACCCACACATAAGGCCAATGGACTTAAATTACACCGGATCAGACTAGATTTAATTTAGGACTACTAAGTCCAGTTTGTAGCGCATTATAACCAAAAAAACTAGCCTATATATGGCAAATTAAAAGACAAAACGAATATGCGAGACCTTTCATTGAAGTAGTTCCCACTTTGACTGCTGACGACAGTGTAGTTGAAGTGTTTCAAAGTTTTATTATGTAGGCCTACGCATGGTTCCTATTCTATTTTACAGTCATATTTTTTGCTAAATTTTAATAATTCATTTTTAGATGTAGACTTTAAAT